TTCCCTTTTACATGGCGTCTTTCTCTCTTGCACAGCTTTTTAAGTTACAACAGTAGGGACATCTAGGAGAGTCCTAAATGGACATGACCAGACTAATCTAGGTCATGTGAGAAAAAAAGAGGAGGGGAACCAGGTGTATTAGCCAGGAGGCCCAAAAAAAGAGTAAACAAAAAGGACCAGGTAGCCAAACTGTCTGGATTATATAGGGAAGGGCAACTGGGGCAGCCCAGCACAACCCCTGGACTGGAGAGTTCAGGGTAGGGAACAGGGTATGCCAGCCAGGAGAATCTTGTAACTGATTGGGCCTGAGGGATGCAGGGAGAACCTGGCAGCCAGCATCAGCTTTGGTATGTTGAATAGGCACCTCAGCATTTGGCCCAGGTTTGAAACCTGACATCCATGACTCCTTGCACACCTATATTTTCATCTAAGACCTGCATCTCCTCCCCATCCCTGTCCTTTATGGTCTCAAATTACTTTATTTCCTGGCAGAAAATAACCACATACTCACTTTAGAAATATTTTAAGAGTGTGAGACACCCATTCTCAGCAGTTTTTAGGGTACCACAAACCCTTAAAGGCATTTGTCCCCAAACCTGTCTTCTGTGGAATAATCAATCCTTCTGTACACACTGTGAAGATTTGTCACTCAGATTGGTTTAATAAAAAGCTTATTGGCTGGTAGCCAGGCAGGAATTATAGGCAGGACAACCAAACTAGGAGAATGATGGGAAGAAAGGAGTGTTGTGGGCAGACACAGGGAGAAAAGCAAGATGAATGTGCCATGTTGAAAAGATACCAAGCAATGAGACAAAGCATTAGATAGAAATATGGGTTAAGTGTAAAAGCTAGTAACAAGCCTAAGCTATCAACCAAGCATTTATAATTAATATTAAGGCTCAGTGTGGTTATTATGAAGCAACTTCTGGGACACAGAGAAACTCTCTACCTGAGTGCAATCCCTGGGATTTACATGGAAGGAAAAGACCAACTCCAAGGTGTCTTCTGAATTCCACATGCACTGTGGCAGGAGTACACACACGCACACACACACACACACACACACACGTAATTTATAAAATGGTTTTTTTTTCAGAGACAGGGTTTTTTTGTGTAGCCCTGCCTTTTCTAGAACTCAATTTGTAGACCAAGCTGGCCTCTGGCTCCCAAGTGATGGGATTAAAGGTGTGTGCTACCATGCCCATCAATTAGATTATTCTTAAGATTTATTTTTTATTATTTTGAATTATGTGTGCCTGTACCTGGAGAGCAGAGGTGCTAGGCTTTCTGACAAGTTCCAGGCAGTTGTGAGCTGTCTGATGTGGGTGCAGGGAACTGAATTTGAGTTGTCTGCGAGAGTAGTAGGTGCTCGTAGCTGCTCAGTCATGTCTCCAGCCCTGTAATTAAAAAATTTTAAGAGAAGGAACAGTGCACCAGGATACTCCTCTAGCCTAGTGAGAGAATGTTTGTTCCCTTCAGTTCGCTGTTATTGTTTGCTTGTTTTTGTTTTTGTTTTGTTTTGTGTTGGTGGTCCTGAACAGACTGGAAATCACTATATAGCACTGGCTGACTTTAAGCTTGTGATTCTCCCACCTCTTTCACCACAAAGCTGGAATTACAAACATGGGCCACACATGGCCCATGTGTTTATTAAGGGTGTTGGAATAAAGATACTGGTTTTTGTGGATGTGTGTGTGTTGTGTGCATGAACATGCAGATGTGTGTGTGTATAGGCCACAGATCAACTTGGGGTGTCTTTTGCCATTGCTATCCACCTTCGTTTTTTAAAAATATTTATTTATTTATTATGTATACAATACATAATATTTTGTATGTGTGTTTGATTGCAGACCAGAAGAAGGCACCAGACCTCATTACAGATGGTTGTGAGCCACCATGTGGTTGCTGGGAATTGAACTCAGGACCTTTGGAAGAGCAGGCAATGCTCTTAACCACTGAACCATCTCTCCAGCCCTCCACCTTAGTTTTTGAGATAGGGTCTCTCACTGAACCTTGATCTCTAAGAGTCTGCTAAACTGGCAGGTCAACAAACCTCACGCTACTACTCCTGCTTCTCCAGAGCTTTAAGAAGATGTAATCCACAACCAGGTGTGATGGTACAAATTTCTAATCCTGACATTTGGGAAATAGATAAATTCTGGTGAAATATCCTTTAGTGACACAGGCTACTCTCAGGTGGAGAAGCTGTGAATCCATAGTCCTTTTATTGACTGTTTTGTCTTGTTTTTGTTGTTTTTGTTGTTGTTATTTTGTTTTTTGTTTTGTTTTGTTTTTTGGATCAGGGTCTCACTGTGTATCCCTGACGAGCCTGGAACATGCTATCTGAACCAAACTGGGCTCAAACTCACAGAGATCCTCCTGCTTCTGCCTCTGCCTCCCCAATGCTGAGATTAAAGGTCTTTCCCACCATACCTGGTCCTTTTGTAGACTTTTTTTATAATTTATTTACCTTTATTTTATGTGCATTGGTGTGAAGGTGTCAGATTCCCCTGGAACTGAATTTTCTGACAGTTGTGAGCTGCTGGGGATTGAACCCGGGTCCTCTGGAAGAGCAGTCACTGCTCTTAACCGCTGAGCCAATTCTCCAGCCCCTTTTGTAGACTTTTAAAGGGGAGATTTCCTGACATTAGCAGTTTAGAGAAGGCCCTAAATAGGCTGTAAGACTGTGACTCAGTTGCCTTGGACCTGGACAGCAGAAAGCTGATTCTATTGCCTTGTCCTACCCTGAGGCTGTTAAGTACTAGGAGTCTAGCAGTTTAAGGAAGGCACTGGATAGCATATAAAACTGTAGCTCTGATTGACTTTGGCCTAAGATGGCAGAGAAACTGCAGAAGGTGGTGGCTAATCACTCTACAGTGGTAGATCTAACAGCTGAGATTACAGGTTTGGTGGTGCTTTGAACACCCTACCTTTTAATGATAACTCCCAGGTACCATGTTTTCCCTTCCAACCAGAGTCCATTACTAATATTTCTATTGCTGTAGATTTAGTTACTCAAGTGTGAAGGCTCCATTGGTAGAGTGCTTGCCTAGCATTCAGGGATTTGAATGCATTCCTCAGCACCACATAAACTGATTACAATCACCTATAACTCCAAGGAATCTGACACCTTGTTTCCTTGGCCACCTACATTCAGGTGGCATATACTCACTCAAATAAAAATAATAAGTTGATAAGTAAATACTCTTGGGTTTGGATCATTTTTCTTTAGATTGAAGAATGACTTTAGTGTTGCTTATTTCATCATGTGTGTTTGGTCGGAAACATCACCCCAGCTTCCTAACACCCCTTTATACAGAAAGTCTGGATTGTTTGGCTGGGAGCTTCACTCCAGCTCCTGGAATAAGCCCCCTCCCCTGGTAGTTGTCTCAGTCTAAAGCCTGCCAAATGGTAACCCCTCCCCAGGGAAGGTCAAAACCACTCCCACAAGCTATTTAAACTGCCCCCCAGAGAATGAACACGTGGTCTCAGGGTTTCCAGTGGTCTTCCCCTCTCCGTGTTGTCCTGGGGCCTCCTGGGAGTAAGGTAATCTATTAAACATGGGCATCTTTAATTTAGTTTGATTTGGTTCGATTGAGATTATTTACATCAGCGGAGAGGCTCCTTTAAGACAAAATACCTAATAATGTATAGCACATGCCTCTAATCCCAACATTTAGGAGGCAGAGTCAGAAAGATCACTGCAGTTTAATTCCAGCCTTGTCTATATGGTGAGTTCCAAACCAACCAGGGCTATATAGGAAGACCCTGTCTCAAATGAATTTTTTTCTTGAGCTGGCAAGATGACTCAGAAGGTAAAAGTGTTTGCTATATAGTCTGATAACTTGAGTTTGGTCTCCAGACGAAACTGTTTGATCCCACAGTGGAAGGAGAGAATTGACTCCCAAAGGTTGTCCTCTGACCTTCACATATGTGCCATGACAGAAGCACACACACCTATCACCCTCACACAAATAAATAGATAAATAAATGAATAAAGCATTTGACCCAGGTGTGTTGGAGTACAGCTTTAATCCCAGCATTTTGGAGGCAGAGGCAGGCAGATCTCTGAATTTGAGACAAGCTTGGTCTACATAGTGAGTTACGGGACAGCCAGAGCTACATAGATTATCTCAAAATAGAAAAAGAAGGGCTGGAGAGATGGCCCAGAGGTTGAGAACACTGTCTACTCTTCCAGATGATCCAGGTTCAGTTCTCAGAACCCACGTGGCAGTTCACAACTGTCTGTAACTCCAGTTTCAGGGGATCTGAAGTCCTCATACAAACATACATATGAGCAAAATACCAATGCACATAAAAATGAATCTTTTAAAAAAGAAATGAAAAATTTGAAACTGAGTACATAAGTTAAATATCTTTAATTTGTATTTTATGTGACTGATGTTATATTAAACCTAACAACTGTCTGAAAATATATTTACTATCTTTTTGTTGTTTTTGTTTTTGTTTGAGATAGGGTCTCAGGTAACCCAATCTGACTTTGAACTATTTATATAGTAGAGACTGACCTTGAACTTCTGAACCTTCTGCTCCAGCCTCTGGAGTGACAAGATTACAAATGTGAGCCACAACACTCTTGCATTCATTTTTTAAAGGGTATTTACTGTTGGCAGTTTTCTGCATATTTAATGACTTTTATTACCTTTCATGATTTCTTTTGAAAAGTTAGATTCTGAGCTGGGCGATGGTGGCACATACCTTTAATCCCAGTACTCAGGAGGCAGAGGCAGGTGTATCTCTGTGAGTTCGAGGCCAGCCTGGTCTACAAAGTGAGTTCCAGGACAGGCCCCAAAGCTACAGAGAAACCCTGTCTCAGAAAAAAAAAGAAAAGAAAAAGTTAGATTCTTTCCTTCTTGCTACTTTAAATAGTTTCTTGTCTTTGATTTTCAGTAGTTAAACCATAATGTGGCTAACTGTGGTTCTCATATTTATTTTACTTAGTGGTTGTAATCTGTGGTTTGATTTTAATGGGTTTGAGGAAATTCTCAACCAGTGTCTGTACAAATACTGTTTCTATCTTTTCCTTCTGCCTTTGGGGAGTAGCACTTTAAATCTTGTTCACAGTGTCGTTATGCAGTGCCCTCAGTTCAAAAGATAATATCCTGAACAGGCTTGGTGATGAACACTTGAAATCCTAACTCTTGGGAGGTGGAGGTTCGAGAAGGAGTTCAAGGTCGTCCTTGGCTACAAAACCAGTTTGAGGGAACCCTGAACTTCATAACAAAACAACAAAAAACCCAGTGCCTGTCAGACAGGTGTCTCAAACCTAGGAGGTTGAGGTAAAATTGCAGGAGTTCAAGATCAGCCTGAGTTATACGGCAAAATCCTGTGTCAGCACCCTCACAGATCCAGAGAAGAGAAAAACAATCCTATAACCTTCTCAGTGTCAGACCGCTGGAAAGTACTCTAGCATGTCCACAATTAGAAGTTCTCAGTCTGGAAGTGCAACACAATGGTAAAGCTTGTGTAAGGCCCTGGGTTTGAGCTCCTGAAATAAAAAAAAGAAAGTCTCTAGAAGTTACTGAAATTCCAATTCCAACACCAAATAACCAGTACATTTCTTGTGATGGTTAATCTTGATTGTTAGCTTGACAAGGTTTAAAATCATGTAAGAGATACACTTCTGACCAGGTGATGGCACAGCCTTTAATCTCAGCACTTGGGAGGCAGAGTCCAGCCTGCTCTACAGAGCAAGTGCCAGGACAGGCAGGCTGTTAACAGAGAAACCTTGCCTTGGGCGGGGAGGGGGGGGACCTTCTGGAAGTTTAATTAAGGAGAGAAGACACCTGGATCGAGGAAGTTACACCATTCTGTGAACTGAGGTCCTGAACTGAGTACAAAGGGAAGGGGTAAGAGAGAGAGGAAAAGAAGGGGTGGAGGGAAGGATGGAGAGAGACAACAGCTAGCACTAGCTAAGCAACAGAATTCACCTCTGTGCTTCCTGATTTGGGACTCAATGCGACTAGTTGTTTCATGTTCACATCACCACATCTTCTTTCTAGTTCATTATGGATTGTACCATTAAACAATGAGCCAAATAAAAACCTGCCTCAAGTTGCTTTTTGTCGGGTATTTTGAGATAACAACAGAAGTAACTAATAAACATTTTGTTTTTTCCAAATGCTTTATTTCTCTCATTAAACTCAAATTTCTGAGGCCTGCGCCATGGCCTGAGCCACTATGGTCTCTCTGATGGGAGGTGGCAGTGGCTCATGTCACACTAGAATATGAATATGAAGCAAGGGTCACTTCCCAAAACCAGTCTTTGTCCTTCCTATCTCAGATGTTAAACTTTCCCTTTGATTGACAGGTCTGGCCCCAGGCAAACCAGAACAACATGAAATCAAATATGTGTTCCTTAGTTTCTCCCAGTTGAATTATTTATTCCTAGGGTTTAGTTGTTTTTGTTTGAGACAGGATCGACTAATGCTGGCCTCAAACTCCTGATCAATCCTCCTGCTTCCATTTCCTAACCGCTAGGATTGTTGGCAGGCACCACCGGCCTGCTTTCTCAATTTAAATATGATTGATATTGAGCAACAGGGATAGGAATGTTTGCTTTCATTTCTTTCTTTCTTCTCCTTTTTTTCTAAACATCTGTAAGAGTCTTGCTGTGATCTATAGGACACCAGTTGCTGGAGTAGTCTTGAGCAAGCCCTTGTAAAAAAGGAAGCTTGTTTCACACTGTCAGCAGGAGAGTCTAGAATGAAGCTGCAGTCAGTGAAGGCTGCATATTAAGTAGAGATAAGGACACCCTCCTGGCCCTGGAAAAGGCTGTAATCTGTGAGGGACAAAGGAGGGAAGAGACTCTGCTCACTTAGAAACTAGAAGGGAAGGCTTGCATCTTTCTGCCACCTTCATTCATTTTTAAAAATTGTCTCGTCAAGACAGCAGATGTCACACTGGAAAAAGCCCTCATTTGTTGCCCTCTGAGAGAATTAAAGTCAGGCAAAAGCAGTGACGGGAGGCCTCCCTCATGGGTTGGGTTTTCTGCTTAGTCACTGCCTTAATGGCCACAGGAGATAACCGACTCCCCCTCTCCCCAGCTTGTTTCTAAAGCAACCATTGAGCAAGCCAGCAGTGAAGCCAGGTCAGAAGCAGCTCCCAGGCTGCCACCATGTTACCTGTTTTATTTTTACTGTCCAGTCTTACCTAAACTCCTAGAAAAGAAAGTGCTAGCTCCTAGTAGATGTAGTCACAGTGGCCTCCAAAATATTCGGCAGTAGTAAAAGGATCACCTTTGCAAATCTAGAACGTTAACTTTATTTGCATTGTTGTTAGGGATTTAGGCATTCTCTCTCTCTCTCTCTCTCTCTCTCTCTCTCTCTCTCTCTCTCTTCCTTCCTCCCTCCTCCTCTCTCCCTCTCCTACCTCCCTAGTTTACAAAATAGGTTTCAGTGGGCCTAGTGGCCCATGCCTTTAATCCCAGTGCGTGGGAGGCAGAGGCAGATAGATTTCTGAGTTCAAGGCCATTCTGGTCTACATAGTTCCAGGACAGCCAGGACTACACGGAGAAATCCTGTCTCAGAAAACCAAACAAAACAACATAAAAGAAATGATCAAGTTTCATTGCCTTTTAGGTTGCTGTTTTGAGGCAAGGTCTCCTTGTAACCCAGGCTGAACTTCAGTTCCCTGTGGAGTAGAGGTTGACCTTGAGTTCTGATTCTCTTGCCTCCTCAGGAGTGCTTTGTGCTGCCACACATGGTTTTTGTGGTGCTGGGGATTGAACCCAGGGCCTTGTGAAGATACTAGGTAAGCACTTTCTGAATTGAGCTACATTCCTAGGTCCCCTTCATTGTCTTTTTTTTAAGATTTATTATTTATTATGTATACAGTGTTCTGCCTGCTTGCATGCTTGCATATCAGAAGAGGGCACCAGATCCCATTACAGATAGTTGTGAGCCATCATGTGGTTGTTGGGAATTGAACTCAGGACCTCTGGAAGAGCAGCCAGTGCTCTTAACCTCTGAGCCCTCTCTCCAGCCCCCCATTGTCTTCATGTAATGGAGATTGCTCATTTGTTTCCTGGCAGCCAAGACTCGAATAATCACACAGAAACTACATTGATTACAACACTGGCCAATAGCTTAAGCATATTTCTAACTAGCTCTTACATCTTAAATTAACCCATTTCTATTTATCTATGTATACCATGAGGCTGTGGCCTACCAGTAAGGTTCCAGCATCTGTCTCCTTTGGCAGCTATGCTTACTCTCTTTCTATATCTCTGTTCAGATTTCCCACCCGGCTCTACTCTGCTAGGCCATTGGCAAACACAACTTTATCAACCAATAAAGCTACACATATACAAAAAGACATCCCACATCATCTCCCCTTTCTGTCTAATTAAAAAGGAAGACTTTTAACTTTAACATAATAAAATTACATATAACAAAACAGTTATCAAGCAAGAATTAATTACAATATTTATATCTAATTTATCTTTTATCATAACTAAGGAAAACTATATATGTCTTCAACTCCACCAAAGACCTCAGAAGGATATAATGCTACCTAAGTAAACAGGACGTGCATTGTAAACAACTTGCAAAACTCTAGAATTGACAGACACATCTCACTGTCTGGACAGTCACCCAAAGTTCTTCTGTACCATTGGGTCATCCATCTTCAACCTACTGACCCATAGTATCCAGCAGACTTTGCAGTGAAGCAGGAAATTTGAAAATTTGTTCTGTCTTGTACTGACAAAGTTCATCAGTTGCTTTTCTTCTGTGTCCTGTAGAATGTCTGGCAGACTCTTTCAGGAAGCAGGAACCCTGAAGGACTGTCTGACCTTCTTTTGGCAAGTTCAGCAGTCATTTTTCTGTGGGTCCTGCATACCCAGTTTGTACAGCATACTATCAAGCAGTCCAGGCAAGAGCAATTTCTTGCCCAAATGGTTAGCCTTGTCACATTGAAGGCAAATGCCATGATGAGTTTCTTCAATGCCCATCAACCTCTCTGAAATAACTGGTGCTGCCAGAAGCAGACATGTCTCACTCTCGAGAAAAGTCCAGGTTCTTAAAATATTTTAAATGTCATATTCTCTAGGTCTTTGAAAGGTCTGAAGAAAACCTATCTATCTAAAATATATTTCTGTACATCTAGAAATCCTGACTAACATGACAAGTTTGACTATTATAAATGACTATTAATATATAATTTTAACTATATGTTACATTTTTAATGAGCAATATAAACATAATACCTTACACAGAAGTAGAAATATACATATAATAAAATTAACCTTAAATTTTTATCATCAAACCAAGATCCCTACCAATGTAAAGTATTCATTTCTCTATCATATTCCTCTTTAAATGAAAACAAACATTTATTGTAGGGCCTGGGTCTGCCCCTGCTCCTGGGGTTCATCTTGAGGACAGTTTCTGGTCAGCCAACTAAAATATCCTGTTTGTTCCTGTGCTCCCTCTGCGCCACCTGGTGAGTAGCTGTAGGGCATTGTTTACTCCATTTTTGGTGTGGTAATTTCCCACCTGCCTGGGGGGAAATCTTTGTGCAGAAGCACAAGGATTTCCCCAAGGTTAAATAAACAGCATTCAGCTGATCTCCTTTCGATGACCCAGGTCTCTTGTGTGTTCTTTCAATCCCCAGGCCCTTTCCCAGCTTGCTACAGCCCAGTGGCTCGTGAACTGTACCAAGAGGGTAACACAGAATCAGGTGTTACAATTTATAAACAATCATTTTGGGAATTTGAGCAATTTTTCTCCAAGCTGCTTCCTGCTCTTTGTTGAGAAAAATAATTTTAGGGTTCACAGAGAACTTTCAGGGGGTCTTGTTCCATCAAACCATATTAGCCTAGAACAAAGCCACAGTTTTTCATCTTCTGTAGACATAAAAACAGAACTTCTTTTCCAAAGCAACATATCCTTAGACCAAAATTTTGAAGTCAAGATACCTTTATGTTGGTTTAACTTAGCAACCTATATGATGAAACGTCTTTCTGTACTTAGCCCATTCACAGTCAAAATAATTCAAAGAAAATACAATAATAATATACTTAATCCAGGTTTTCTGTGTATTTTCCATCTTTTCATGGCTTATTTTTTTACTCTATTACCTTTTAATATTTATTTTATTATCTTTACTCCTTTAATCTGTGACTGTCTATACTCTTTCTTCTCTTTTTCCTAAGCCATGTACATTTATCCTACACTGTGACCAATTCAGAGGTCTTTTTGTCTGAATCTGTCTTATTGGGTATCTGTAATCATTTTTTGACCAGGAGAGTAGTTTTTTTTTAAAAAAAAAATGATAAGTGGGCATGGCTAAGACTAACTCTGTGGCTTTGTCTGTTAGCTCTGTCCCATCCAATAGAGTAGAGGTACATTCACCACCCCTGCAAGCCATGCTCACCCCCCACCCTAGCTCCAGGATGCAGCAGGTCTATGCCATCATAAAGCAATTTGTAATACACTACTCACAAACCCCATTTAAGTGCTCTGTAGCAGGACCAGCATGAACCAG